CCACTCCTCGGAAGGAAGGTTGGGCAATCCTACTTCCGTAGTGATACTGCCTCGGAAACCCAAGGAGGGGTCGCTATGAGTCGGGGCCGACTCGAGTCGGCACATAACAACAACAACATTCATAGTATGTTGAGCCAGGTAGAGAGCCCTAGTGGTACAGTGATTAAGCACTTGGCTACTAAATGATAGAATGGTGATTCAGACAAACCCACCAGCTAGACAGCAGGAGAAAGATGAGGCAGTCTGCTCTGTAAGGATTTACAGCCTTGGAAACCCTATCTGACAGTTCTGCTCTTTCCTATAGGGTCACTCTGAGTTGGAATTGACTCAGTAGCAACAGGTTTGGTGTGTGTTTGCTTGTTTGTTTAAGCCAGGTAGGGAAAAGTGTGTTAGAGTTGTCTTAGCCATTGCATTGCTAAAATATCTCTTGAAACTTGTGAGGAAACAAGTTCATTTTTTCATTTTATCCCTAGGGTAGCCATTAATCAGTTCCCAAATATCTGTGGATCATTAAAAAAATGCTTTTCTGTTCCTTTCTTTTTTCCCCTAAACTCTGTGTATATTCTGTTTATAAAAAAGTCCAACAGAGAATAGTTTTTAACATTTCTGAACATTTTACCTATAGCCGATTACTTGACTGCTACCCAGAAGGCTGGTGGTTCAAACCCACCAGCCACTCCTCGGAATGAAGATGGAGCTCTACTTCCGTAGTGATACTGCCTCGGAAATCCAAGGAGGCGTCGCTATGAGTCGGGTCCAACTCGATGGCACATAACAGCAACAACAACAACAGAAAATATTGTCAGAACATATTAATTTTATGCTAATTGGGATGTAGTTGGAAAATTATATATAGTACACATAAGTAATCCCTAAACAATTTCCATTTTAATCCACATCACACATTAAATGCACTGTCCAGTATAGGTTGCTTCTCAAAAAATCTTTTGAAGCTGATTATCTAGAACTCATGTAATAAATTTTAGAGACCTATTAAGTATTATAGGAGCTCTGGTAGCATAATGGCTAACGCACTTGACTGCTAACCAGAAGGCTGGCGGTTCAAACCCACCAGCCACTCCTCGGAAGGAAGGTTGGGCAATCCTACTTCTGTAGTGATACTGCCTTGGAAACCCAAGGAGGGGTCGCTATGAGTCAGGGCCGACTCGACGGCACATAACAACAACAACAACATTAAGTATTATGGGAACTCTGATAGCATAGTGCCTGAGACATTTGACTGTTAACCAGAAGGCTGGCGATTCAAACCCAGTAGCCACTCCTCGGAAGGAAGATTGGGCAATCTACTTCAGTAGTGATTGTTGTCGTTGTTGTTGTTATGTGCCATCAAATCGGACCCAACTCATAGCGACCCCTCCTTGGGTTTTTTCCGAGGCAGTATCACTACCGAAGTAGATTGCCCCATCTTCCTGCCGAGGAGTGGCTGGTGGATTTGAACTGCCAGCCTTCTGGTTAGAAGTCAAGTGCCTTAGCCACTATGCTACCAGAGGGGTTGCTATGAGTCAGGTCCGACTCAACGGCACATAACAACAACATTAAGTTATTGTAGAATATAAAGATGGGTAGTACCTTACATTTCAATATGGGAGGAAGTTAATTTTAGATAAGTTACAAAGAACTATATAATTTATATATTGAGATTAGGCACCCAAGACAGCTTTTTAAAAAAGATTTTACTTCTTTGTTAATGGCAAAATCACAAATGTTAGACGTTTGAGCCTTTTTAAGGAACAGATTTAGAAATGGATGAGAATCCTCATCACATGGGCCAATGAGTCTTGCCTATAAGTTTCCCAGTTACTTCTTTTGCAGTTACCTTTCGTTTAATTAACTTCCTTTGAACTGTTCCTATTTTTCTCTTTCACTGCTTCTGAACTATCACTTAAATATTGGCACATTTATTTTCACAGCAGTTTGAAACTTGTTAGGGATAGGGCACTTTTACAGTTTATAAACCAGAAAAATAAAATATATGTACCCAAACATCCATATAGTATCTGGTGGCACTGTGGTCAAGGCTTTTGGCTGCTAACCAGAAGGTCTATGATTCAAACCCACCAGCCACTCTGCAGGGAGGCAGTCTGCTTCTGGAAAGGTTTATAATCTTGGAAACTATAGGGCAGTTTTACTCTGTCCTAAAGGATCACTATGAGTCTGAATTGACTTGATGACAACAAGTTTGGTTTTGGTTTATATATATAGTTGGTTTTATACAACAGAATTACACGTTCTTAAAGATACCCGGGACATTTTTCTTATACAGGGTATT